CAATATTCAAGTCTCGTATCGTTGAATAATTTTCAATAGTTTTGAATACGAAAGTCGTAACAACTCAATAATATCCAGTAGAAAATATCAATCTAATTGAATGGGGATTAATGGTTTGTTATCGCAGAATCAACTTTTTTTTTGACGTTGAATAATTTTCGATAGTTTTTAATGTGAAAATCACATTAATCCAATATTATGCAATAGCAGAAATTAATCCCATTGAATAAGTATGAATGGTTTGTTATTGCATAATTAAGGATTGGTGCATGGTTTACAAAAAGTGTATTTATAAAAGCACTGTATATCACAGTGAAGAATACAATCGAGCGAAGAAAACTGATGATACTGTCGTTAGACTTACTAGTGGACAATACGCTAGAATAACAAAAATTCTCGAACATGACGACGATTCATACATTGTTGTACAAACGTACAACGTATTTCCAGAATATCCATTTGAAGGAGTAACTCATATCCGAAAAATTCAAAGCGAAAACGAGATTGATCTCATCAAACCCATTGGTGAAATAGATTGCAAAATAATTTTGGTAGACGTTAGAAATGCTAGATATTTATGCAAAATGCCCAATTCATTTGAAATCCAATAATAATGTTCATGTCAATTTTTGTAATTTGTTGATGTACATAAAAAACCATTTATTTACAATTGAAAAAAAATCGAATACCCATTAAAAATTATATTCGAATATGTTTTTACTTAAAAACTATTAAAATTGATAAAAGTCTATTCAATCAAATCATATACGGAGTTTTTTCATTCATGACCTATATAAAATTATAATATCCAAAGCATAAGATACGATTCTTCAATTATAGTATCGAACAACTATTCAAATTTATAAAAAATCATTCAATTATGGAAATTTTTTCTTTCATCATCAAATGAAAAATTATAGAATAAAATTATATTTGATAAGTTTGTAGAATGAAGGATTATTCAAAACTATACAAACAACTTCTCAATAGAATACGATTGAGTTTTACTTGCATTTACCAATCATTAGATTTCATTAAAAAATATTCCATTGAAAATATTTGAAATTTTTTTGTTTGCCTTTCATAAGAAATTATAGAATACTATACCTCATTGAATGCGATTGGGTTATTTTTATATTGACCAATCATTAAGATTAAAAAAAAAACTATTAAATGAAATATTGCTAAAGTTACAGTATTGCTTTTGCTCATATTGGCATATATGGAAAACCATTCTATAAAATATTATTGACCAACCGTGTAATTGGATAAAAATTAATATCCATATAATATGATTCAATAAAATATGATTGGACAATTATTGTATCGAAAAATTATTAAAATTCATAGAAAGATATACAATAAAATATCATTGATTAATTATTTTATTGAACTGTGATTGATATTCATTCAATGCAATTGGATAGATTATCATTGAAACCATTCCTATACAAAGTATTATTCAGAAAGATTGAATTCTATTATATTTAATGGTAAGTTTTACTATTAGTTATGTTTACCATGAAGTATTATTGAAAACCATTCAGTTTCAATCGTCATCGGAACATTGAACCATTCAGTTCATTGATTACCATTGAATATGAATGATCCCGAATAGGAATGAATGGAACTTTTTTAGCAGGGTAAACAGATAGATACGTTAGACTAGTTGCAGTCATTCAGTGATTTAATAAATAGCTCATATATAGGACCGTTACACGGCTGTGGTTGTATCATTTCGCTGCTGAACACCGCCGTAGCTAGTTTACCCGTGTAGGTCGGCTGCGGGAAAGGCTCGCTGTCCTATGACGTGCCTGGCTGCAGATCCGGATACCAGAATTGCTGCACAAAAAGACCCGTATTTGTCGGTATATATATATACTAGTGGGGCTTCGCCCCCCTACTCGCTCCGCTCGTCAACCCCCCAAAGGAGAGTTGAGTAAAATTGAGTTACATGTTGCAATTTAAAAAATAGGAACTGATAATATTATATTCAATGAATGATATTATTTCCACACCACCATGGAAGTAAATATCATGGCGCATTAATAATAAAATCCCAGTCAGTTTACATTCGATTGAACGGTTCGGTCGATCAAGCTGAGCATATCGGGAGGCAAAGCCATTTTTATATAAAACTTTACTTCTTGAAAATTTTTAGATTAACTTTTAGTTTACTCATCCTTTCTGTATGCATGGCGAGGTTTCAATACGTGAGCTAAAACTTTCTTTGAACTTCTACTATTGATATGCTATCAATATTAGAAGTAAATACATGGCATTCATTAAAAAAAATGCAAACATAAATATATTTTGTTAAAATTCGCATAAAAACATGTAAATGAACAAATGGGGAGGGGGGGGGGGGGCAAAATTGTGGGGAGGGGGGGAGGGGTTATTTTTTATTTTTTGATGTGGGGAGGGGCCATGAAAAATTAAAAATTTCATCCAATCACTCAAAAACACGGTAAAAACACGGTGATTTTTTCTGATTTTTATGCAATCTTAAAAATATCAATTGGGGAGGGGACGGGGAGGGGACAAAATTATGGGGAGGGGGGGGAGGGATCAGATTCCGAGGCCCCCTTACGACTATATATATATAGTTAGATATATATACATATATATATATATAAATATGACCAACGCGAGTATTCAAGCGAGTCTTCGCCGCAAGCTTTTTCAAATTAGAAAAGAAGCCACATTTGCAGGCAGGGCATGAGTTGTGTACACAAAATTAACAACATTCGAAAAGAAACTGTGAGCGAACGATCAGTTGTGCAGTAGTCAATCGCAGAATTCGACATACGGTTATTGGCATTTGGGATCAAATTAGGTTTAGCGATAATATACTTTTTTTTCAATATTTAAAAAAATGGAAGTTCTTGCGAGCCTTACTCTCAAGTACGTATGTTCTCTTTCAGCATTTAAAACCTCTTTTCGTCTACGTTGGAATCCACCCTGTCCTCGAGAATCAACTTCTGAGGATCTATGCGAATATATGCAAAGATTGAAATTATTTATCAATCCCATAAAAAAAAAAGTTGTAATATGATATATTAAACAATAAACTACCTTTGGAGCATCCTGGAGTAAAATCATTTGGTACAGCAGAAGCAATGATATGCTTTCCAGCAGAAAGTTGAGTAAGATCAATTTTATTTGCAGGAGTATCTTCAAATAAATCTATTGCCGAGAGTCTGTTTCCAAACTGAAAAAATAATCAATACTTATCATTCTACTTGAACTTTTATCTAATGTAGTTGAATCTGTGTTATTGCACTATTTCATATATAAAACGAGTCTATTTTCTTTGTAGAGGTTGTATTATATTGTATAAGCATAAGACTGTAAGTTTCTAAAGGATGTGCATCCAAAAATTATGTTGACATTGATACGAATAATAAACATTACTTAAAACATAATACTTACAGCAATGGCCATGTTTTGTAGAGTGATATGATTTCTTTGATGAACAAGTGAGTGCCATGCAACCAAATGGTAAATTAGTACGATGAGTGAATTGGCTGATTTGTCCTGATTACAACTGTTGTAGATGTATATAGGATGTTGGAGCCGCTATTCAACTGCAATAAAAATCAACAATGCGAATCAATCATCTGCTACGCAGCTATTTTCAACTTAATTCTCCATAAGTATCCATACATTCAATATCAAGTTGTCGGCACAAGCATTAGAATAAGTAAATGCAAGGTTTAATGAGTTGCGCAATGACCACTGATAATTACATAAAAATATAAATCATCCAGCAAGAGCTTGAAATTTTTTATGTTCAAGTGTCTTCAGTAACAGACAACATTAGAAATGTGTAACTAAATGTGTAACAAACCTACATCCGTATACTGCTTATTGCATCTTCAGTAGCTGCTTGCGCATCTCTAGAGACAGCCTCTCGCTTTCCTCATCCTCCTTCAGCTTTCTGTCTGACACCTTGCTCCAGCTGATTTGCCCTCTTCCTGTTTCTTGGTAACTCCTCTTGATCCACCTGCAGCTGGATCTCAAACTATCTCTCCTCATCTCGCTAGTAGCACTGAGCGTCACTTAAGAAATGAATCATGCTACCAGTCAAAACCAAAATATAACATACAACTTGTAATTTGTTAGCATGTTCAATGTAGTACCTATCATCACGGCACATTTCACTGATAAGAGAGAGAGAGAGAGAGTGTAATCCTTATGTGTAGCCAGAGCATGTAGCTGTCCACTTCAGTATTGCAGTGACACGACCCAGAAATATTAAATAAATCACAAAGCATCTCAATCAAGCAGGTGATTGTTAAAGTGTTTATAAAAACGATGTATAGAAAAATAAATATACTTATCTAAGTGACGAGTCAAATATTGGTAGGTTATGTTCGTCCTGACCAGTCCTGGCAATTGTATCTATTGCGCAATGTTATGTTTCATTCAATTGAGTATTAAAAAAATCAAACTACCCTAATGTGAATAACGACACCCCAAGATCTTCACTTTTTATATAGAAAAAGTGTGCACGAATTCGTTGAGACTAGAGAGTTGCCTCTATCTCAGTTGTCTGCTCGACTCACTAAAGCTTGACCTGCACATATACATATATATATATCAGTACTGAGACTACTGAGTACAGATGATTTTTTATTGCGCATGCGCCATAAGCCAGTTTTATAGCGAAATTAATTATTTAACTATTTTAGTGAAATATTCATTGTTTTCGACCGTATAAAATTTTTTATCGATTGAATAAAATTACCGCAATCGATTGGCGTCATCAGATTATCAGAATAATGAACCGTTGTTGAGATATCATTTTTAGAAAAAGGACCCAGCACAAACATGTTTTTAAACAATTACTTAGCAACTAAGGGACGCGGTATTTTTTTAACAGCGGATTTGGAACGCGCAGATTACGCGGAATTTTTTGATACCTGGGTTGCTAATTTTTCATGAATAAATGTGCTGAGGTCACGGAAATAGTATTTTGGGCACTTTCTAACGCCGACGGCTTATACATTGTGCTTCCACTCCTGTATATAGTCTCCATGGCCAGAATAGTAAACAGAACAAAATGAAGACTGCAGAAGGATCTGTAATTGTCAGGAGGACAAGATCTGGAACATCGGCAAAAGTAAAAATTAGTCCATAATTATAACGATTATAACAGTAATAAATAATTGTATTTAAAATTTGATGTATTTATTAATTCTTTAAGTTGTTTTACTTTTCGTTTAAGATTTCATTTATAGATATCTTATTTATATTTATAATTCTACAAAATTTTCTTCTATAAATTATTAAAATCTATGTTTTTATTTCTCTTTGAATTTGTATAGGTATAAATAAACTATACACATATACATATCTACTTTATTTATAGAAAGCTTGTAACTTTCTATATATATATATTAGATTGATAATTAAAAACTAATTAAGATTTTTAGTCTATTTTTTGCATTGATGGTTTTAAATAGGTGATCGACCTTTCATGCTGTGATATTTTGAAGTTATCTCAGTTTCAATTAAATAATTTATTAATTTGCGGTGTTCTTAGGATTTTTATAGATGGCCAGATGAGCCTTTTGAAGAAATGGATAGTACATTAGCTGTTCAACAATATATTCAACAAACTATTAGAACTGATTCATCAAATATTGATTTCATTCTTACAATGCCAGAATCACAAGATGAAGGAGTATGGAAATATGAACATCTCAGACAATTTTGTATGGAATTGAATGGTTTAGCAGTAAGATTGCAAAATGAATGTCATCCAGAAACATGCACACAAATGACAGCTACTGAACAATGGATTTTTTTATGTGCAGCACATAAAACACCAAAAGAATGCCCTGCAATTGATTATACGAGACATACATTAGATGGTGCAGCTTGTTTATTGAACAGTAACAAATATTTCCCAAGCAGGTAAAATAACTTTCTGTATTAAAAATGGTCACTATCATTACAAATTTATAATTATTTATATTGGTGGGGGATCTCTTCATATGAGATTATTTTTACAATTTGAATATGTTAATAATTTAAGTCTTGGGTTTAAAGGTTTTATATATATTTAGTATTAATGCTAAAGTAAGTCTGCTTTAATTTTGAATTTTCTCTGAAACTACATTTTCACAAAATGTTTTGCACTGTAATTCAGTGCAAAATCTGTAGATTTAAAGCAAAATGAAAATGGGTAGAATAAACCTGCAACAAATTTGTGGTGATTGACATAGAATTTAAAAAATAAATAAATTAATATGTTGACAGACTTTGTATACTTAATTGTAAAAGATTAGTTGGTTTAATAGTTAGGTCATTTAAAAAATTTATTACCTGTTTTGGAAAATGAAGGATTTCTTTTTTTTTTTTATATAATTAACATTTTTATGTTGTATATAAATTTAGTTTCACTTAAAAATTAATGAATTGAAAACTATAAATAAGGGTGAAATATGCCATCTGCTTATTTATAAATTTTTATGTAGTTGTACAGATGTTTTTCTATATAATTTTGTTAATACTTCTGGTGAAAGTTTTATTTGGTTTATTAAAAATGTAAATATGTATAATGATTAGGAATATACATAAGAATAGTTGAGAAGAAACTCAGTAGTTAAATTTAAGTATGCAGAGTTTGATATCATAATGCAGATTCTGTATACTACTTTGTAAGAAATCCAATACTCAAAACTACTCTGAATTTTCGCTGGAAAAAATTGATTACAAAATTTTTCAATGAAATGATTAGTATTGATTAAGTAGAATCTCAGCTACTATAAATTTGTTGACGTTAAAAATCTTTACAGTAAGTATGATATAATAGGTAAAATATATATTATATATATATATATATATATATATATACATATATATATTAATAGGTATAATATAATATATAGTAGGTATGATATATACATAGTTCAAAGTGTTAATTGAGAAATGATTTCAAAACAAAATTTAAAATAGTTTTATATGTCATGGGCCAGTGCAAAAGAGCTCTTCTATCTGTAAACTAAATTAATAATCAGTGTTGGCTTCCAATTTCTTTGTAATAAAATAATTATCTTACAAAAGAGAGTTAAGTATAATAAAAATAGTAATGATCACTTTCTTGTGATTTTTCATTATACTTATTTTTGCATGTGTCTTTTTTGATATGAGCTAAATGAATAACATTTTAATTGAGCTTGTAAACTTCAATGTGTTTTTGTTGAGCAAGCTGAGCAGTGACAATTGTGACAAAAAAAACCAGAAACGTGATAATAATATATTTCCAAAAGTATTCATTGCGCTGAATCTAACTTCAGAATTAATACATCACCTAAGATTTTCGAGATATTCTAACCTAAAAGTGCAAAAATCATATTTGTTATATTTGAGGTTACGTAACACTGAATAATTTTATTTTTCAAAAACCAGTAAACCTATCACAAAGCAACCTTTTTCTATTTTAAATCCTATATTTTTGGATTAGAAATCTTTTTTTTATGAAAATATCATTGGTTAGTATTAAGTATTTTAGCAGATTCGTAATAACATTAAATTGGGGTTTGGGGATCTAGGGTTGTAAGGGTTTGGGGTTCAGGAAACCGGAGTTCAAGGATTTAGAGGTCACAGATTGTAACCTATACAGCCATTGGGGGTCACGTCATGGCGATTGGGTTGTTTTAATGTAGTCATATGAAACTGCTGAAATACTTATTACATATTTATTACATTGTCCATTAGATAAAATAATAATTTATATAACCTTGAACATAGAAAATATCATAATTTTCGCATTTTCAGGTTAGGATATTTTAAGAACCATAGGTGATGAATCAATTCTAAAGCCAGATTCGGATTAAGCATTTTAAAAACCTACGGAAATATAATATCACTTGTATTATTTTATAATATTTATATTTAACAGAAAAGATTATAATATGCTAAGTTGGAACGCAAGAAAAAAAAAATAAAATCTATCTAAAAATGTCACGTATCGTATCCCATAACAATTACCCCAAGAGCCACGTCAATATGGTACTTTCGCGAAATTTCTCAGTCTTTCGTAGCACGTTTCTTATTAATATATGTGACGGTAAACGTCGAATTAGCGCTAATAAAATAACCTGATTGCTGCTCGCGGGGGGCAGCACCTACTGGGGAAATTAGGAACGTAACGAAGGAATTCGGCACGCGAGCAGACGGAACGCGCGCGCTTGAAATTGAACCAGTGAAGCTCTAACCACCATCACGCTTGCCCGTAAATGAGGATTCTTCCATCATCGTGCTCGTCCGCTTACTAGACAACTACCGATTCGTAAGCCACCAATATCGGAAATCGAAAGGAAATAGTCCGCGCCAGTGATCTAGAGGGGCGATCGCTGTTGCCAAGGTGCTGTACAGCTGCCGAAGGGAGAGACCCGACCCGGCGGAGAAGCATCACCTTCCACGAGACCGGCAGAGTATGCGTGAGGTTTCGCCATCGAGGGCGAAACCACGTGTGCGCGAACTCGCGATCCGCGGCATTGACAAAAAAAACAGTTCTCACGCAGTGTGACTCTCTATCGTCCGCTTCGTACGCCTGCAATATTAAGGTAAGCTGGCCAGCTTAATTTCGCGGTCGCGATACAATTGCATAAGTGACGACTAATTTCCGGCATCCGAAGCGTGCATGTAATAGCTCTTTCAACAAAGAGCAGCGAGCGTCCCGACACCGCATATTGTTGTCGATGAGCGAGCGCCGATGTCAACATAAACGCGCGGGCCGATCCAGTGTAACATTTGATAGGCAATAAAAGATTCTGTTCGTGTTGTTAACAAGTGCTTTCGACTCGCTTATTCCATATTGCTTCCACTCACATTTTCGTAGATTAGTAGATCTATTGGTTGACTGACACCTGTTTCCCCATGCTCTCCGGATTATGTATTGAGCATAGATGATTACATTCGCCCTTCAATAAAGTTGCGCGAATAAAAATAATTAAACGGTATCTACCCCGTAAAATTATTAAGCCATCGGTGAATTTTACAAATGATATTGTTGTCGAGGACCCGCGGAAAAAGTTTCGTTTAATGTACCGTTTTTTACTACAGGCAAGTACGTGATTTTGGAGCAAAACTAGCAATAAAAGTATTAAAGCTCTCATTCATATTAACTGAAATATCTGCACAAAATTCTGGTCATTTCTTTGCCAAATTATTCAACTAACATTGTAAATCTTCAAACAAATTGTCATCACTCAGACCATTCTTAATATTAGAATGTTTATATGTATCAGGATTTTTTTTATATCCGTACGAATCACCACAGTTGTAATAATTGAAGTATATCATAACTTACCTGACCTCTTTGTTGTCCAGTCAAAATCAAAAAGTGAAAATAAACGCACTGATTGGTTCAGTAAGTAATCTGTGTCAAAATGTTGTATACTAGTAACAATAAGTAGGGTAGGAAAAATAACTGACAAGGAAGGTACACCAAGTGTAAGTAACCGATTTCGATGAAACTTTGAATGTGGTAGTGGACTGACAAATAGTCGACGCATTTTTTTTTTATGTGCTAATACATGGTTTGAAAGGGTGAAAACTGCCCTAAAGTTCACTCCCGAAAATCGTTTTTTCGATATATTTCTTCTAAATAAGATATTCTCTTGGAACCAACTGGATATTCATTGTTGCTGTATAACAGTGTCACGTAGCGTACCAAAGCTCCAGAGGGTTGCAACCCTTACTTTTTATAAGGAGGGAAGTGATTTTTCTCCTACATTTTTGTCTGATAAAATTGTGAATTTAATTCAATTCTCTTCTAACTTTTATTATTTAGAAGGGCATTAAGAATCAAAGTTGACGTGTTTTTTATTTTTTCCTAATTTAAGATTAAACTACCCTTGAATTAATTTTTTTATTTTCATTGAAATTAAGCGCTTTGAGTTAACTGTATAACTGAAATTAATGTAACTAACATTGAATCTGTTCAATATGCTATGCACGACTAACAAAAAGCCAGAAGTGTTCATTCGTGAGGCGAAGAAACCATTTAAGGGGTGGAAACTACTCATCACGTTCACCCCAAGAACCGTTCTTTCAGTTTTATTATTATTATTATTATTATTATTATTTATTTCCTGATTTCGGGTAAAGACCCACTACAGATAGTTGAGAGAGTAGCTCAACATTTGTAAAAGGTAATGTATAACATCGTGATTTAGAGCAATTCGCTGGTAGTGTACAGATAAAAGGAAATATATAATGTACAAGATTTTACAAAGTACAGAACGATTAAAATAAAACGCGTCGTATTATAGTAGATAAGATAATGTCTAAATTAGGATTAGAAACGGTTGCGTTAAACATGAGAAAAATTTAGTCCTTTAAGTCAGATATACTGAAATCTCTTATTCTTAAAATACTAGACAAAAAGTTGTAAAACGATGAGACAGATTTAGAATCAGCAACATTCAATATTTCAATTAAACTCGAATCTTTAAAATATTTGTCGCGTAGGCTGTAATACATTGGACACTAAACTAAAGTTACCAGATAGTCTGGCCGCGGCCAGCATCCTCTTGTACACCAGGGGTAGAGCAAGCGTGAGGTATCGTTCGCAGTAAGGCGACTGTAGGTTATTTAAGTTTTTGTAGTTGGGACTAAACGAGGAATGCGCGGCTCGATTGACGTCGCTATTGAAGCAAAGCCCCTTAGTCTGCCGTCAATGGTCGGAAGAGCAAGAAGAATTGAATTAACATCCTCACTGTCCAGTAAATAGCCATGTCCGGATCTATTCAATGCCGACAGGAGTTGCGAGAACCAATTAAGTTTTGAGCTATTCGATACGGAATTATCGTTCCTTTTCAGCTTATCGTACATGCGTCTGGGGTACCTGGCAGGTTCATAGGAAAGAATTTTTACCCAGTATTGTAGCGCTCTCATTAATACCT